GATTGAAGCGCGAACTGGTCCACCGCTCACGTGGCCGCGTCTGTTTACCGGTGTAGGGTAGCATCCAATCGATCTTGGTAGTGACCTCGCTGGGATCATGACATAGAGATGGAAAAGTTCATGTGGACAAGTGCAAGAGTCATTCACCTCATCAGCTGAGATCGAAGAAATTCAAAGTTGCGTGAATAATGATTTTTGGAATGTAGGTATAAAGAATTTCATCGTTACGAATGTGGGTGCTTTTCTAGGAATCAATAATGCTTTCCGAGAATAAAATTTCAGTTGGTTCAACGAAATTTGGATAGACTGGTGGAGGGGATGAGGTGATATAAATCGCGAATTTTTAGGGAGAACTTTAGTTGTAATCATGGAGAATCTCTCACCAGAAGACATACGCTATTTGAATAGTACTCCACCGTACTGTCCCGACTTTGAGGATAGAGAGGAGAAGCATTTTGGTGATGTTCCACCGGAAAATATCTGGAGTGTCATCAGTGATGTGCAGTTTTTGGAGAGGAATTATGCAGCTGTGAGAAGGAAGAATGAGGAATATGCTGCAGATGACTCACTCCTGCCATTATCCATCCACATTACGAAAAAGCTGTCTGTTATTCTTAACTGCATTGAAGAATTGATAGTGAGAGTGGATGATGATTTTGTGCGAGATCGTTGGGTTAGTTCATGGAGCAGTGGATCCAAGCGAAAAAGGGGGCCAAATCTGTACGAGAAAAGTTCAGCAGCCCCCATGCTAGGCATTCTACATGAACTCAAACTCGGTGTAAACATAATGTTTGAATCATTGAAAACCGAGGCAGACTCGGCTCTTGGTCATGATGTCGTTGATGAAAAGATTTTCTTTTCCAATAATTATTGTTTATTTATTCAGTTGAATGATTACATTTATTTTTTAAATAAGTTTCTTGACGCTGCCGGTGAGTAAGCTATATTCGATGATTCGATCGTGTAAGATCAAGCAGTAGGCTGCGGTGTTGGCATCGAAGATTTGCGATGATTCAAACTCCAGACGAATGTCCACAGGGCCGGTTTTCAAGAACTCGTTCTGCTTGGAGCAATCGATGACGATGAGGGGTGCTGTTTTCAAGTAGTCCGCTCTGCTGAATAGTGGTTCAGGCTCTTTATGGTAATAGGAGGCTTGGAAGCTGGTGTACATATCGTAGAGAAGAGCTGATTGATTGTGTTCAATGTCCAAATTCAGATTTCCATATGGATAACTTTGCGAATTCAAGAATAATTTGATTTCTCGAATATTACAATGATCGAATGCACTGGCATCCTTCAAAGCCTGATTTTTTCTAGCTACTTGAAAGCCGAGAATGACGTAACGCGGTTTCTCCAATTGCTTTGAGCATTTCACAGTCCAGACATGTTTCGTTGTGCTCGGCAGCAGAGGATACTCGTACAATTCCCAAGAGCGAAAGCTAATCGGCACCACCGTGTCTTTCGAAATCTGATTGAGAAGCTGTACTTTTCGAGTGTCAGCAGGTTTAATGTAGGGTAGCATCCAATCGATCTTGGTGATT